TGATGCGTTAGAGTTTTCTGTGGTATCATAGAAGTGTAACACCTATCCTGGCTGCGAGCGCGGACCGAAGGGACGCACGAGCATTGTCTGCAATTCAAAAATATTTTTAGACCTCCGGGGTTCTTTGGGGACTCTCAAGAAAACTTGTATAGATTGAAACTATTTCGCGAAGCTGACACATCATATCACAGAAATATTCATAACGCATGGTAGATAGTCCCTAGCGAATATCAACCGAAGGGAGGTGTAAGCGTTGTTTCCACGAACCAGCCGAAATCTTGCTCCTACTTATGTTTCGTTATCAAGGGCAAGAAGACTGATAGATTTGGTAATATTACGTCCATTTCGAACGTCCGTATGACAGGTAAAACATTATTAAAAAATCAAATTACAGAGTCTCGATGAACTATAGAAATTTTGATAAACTTTTCTGACTAGTGAAAACTTATAGCAACTGCTTCTATAAATTAAGATGGAAAATATGGACGTTCTCATCGCGAAAAATATCTGTACTAGTTCGTCGTGCACTATTAGTACTAGCGGTCGTTGTCGTTGTTTTCGTGGGTTGTAGTCGTTGTCGCACGTTATACTGGTGATTTTTTCATAGACGCCGAGATTTTTCAGTTTTTCGATAATAGTTTCCGCGATGGTTTTCGACATATATCGATGTCGAAACTGAGTAAAACAAATAATTTTAGATGTTAGTTTAAAATTAACATCAACAAAATGTCCTGTAATTACAAGATATGACTGAAGCCGTCTATCCGACCAAAAGTCACAGGTTAATGAAATATAATTAACTTCTTTTAGTTGTTGAGCTAGTTTAGCATAATGATAGTTATACAGTCCTTCTAGATTACGCTGAATTGTGTTCCGATGCGGAGCGATATAACCGGGCGATAGAGCATCAAGTAGTTTCATCATTCCGGCTTTTCTTAGATCTGAGAATGATCGTCCATCTTCGATAACACACTGAATGACAATAGCATCCAATATCCGCTTTTGAACTAATGGAATAACTGATTTTTTTAATGTAGATTATTTACTGCAGGGACCTTTTATTCCGTGAGTTTCTAAATGTGCTTTAAAAGTAGCTACTGAGCCACCAGAAGTGGAGATAATTTCCTGACAGATATTGCATTGTGCTTGTTTAGCATTGAGTTTCGTAGCATGACTCCACACATATGAAGGTTTCTGGAAGATGTAGGTGGCGAGGTCGGTGTATCTTTTGAATTATAACATTGTGGGATTTTATGACGTGTCTTCCATAAGTCGAAAATGAAAGTATATGTATATCCAATTTAGCAATCAGACTAAAATTTAAGCCATATGAAAGAAAATCTACATTTAAGTAAAGAACTGAATTTTATAAGCCCACACATATCTTTCTTGGTCTTTCATTGTTTTTTTTATTTTTATTTTGAATAACGTTTGCATTTTTTTCATTTCATTCAAAAATGAACTCCCCTTTCATCGATTAATCACTATCACTCCCGTTTAGCCATAATTCATCTTTTTCACCTTGTATGTTTATTCAATTACTCTCTACCATCTTCAGTAGGACATATTCTACACATTTAATATAGGAAATAAGGTGATATTCGGAATCAGCGTAAAAGACTGCATCTGGTGATGTATACTTCAAGCATTTTGGAGAACTTCAATTTTTTGGTAAAAAATGCGAAAAATTAAAAAAAAAAAAAAAAAAAGCAGAAATTTGAAATTCTCCGAAATGCTTGAAATACACATCAACAGATGCAGTTTTTCACGCTGATTCCAAATATCCCCTTGTTCTTCATTTTAACTTAGATTTGGGCTGAGAAAGGTCGAAAATAATGGAAAAACCTGGAAAAATAGTAGTAGTCAGCCCATCTTGTTTCTCAAATTTCGCCATGTTCAGAAACTTTTATTTTCAAATTGATTAGTCCATCTTGTAGAGGATCAGTCGTTCCACAAAATGCGGGATAAGAGAATCCTGCTAGGAACCTTTCTGTATCAAAATTAACTCATGAAGAAAATTAGTTGCGTTTTGAAAAATAGAAAATTTCAGAAAACCCAATTGTTTTGTAGGAAAACTCAATAGTGGAACAAAAATAAATAAGCCAGCTTCTTTAGTTTTTACCGAGTTTTTAAATGAGATTTTGCTCGAACAGAATGGATCAAATTTGATTGAGCTACACGCAAAATGCTGGCGACACCTACTTTTTTGAAAATCCTTAACACCCTTTACTTTGAAAATTTATATCGCAGTCAAATTAAGTTCGGGAGGTCTAAAAATTTTTTTCATAACCCCAGTTTTAATCATAGAATCGAATGGGATTATAAAAAGTGGGGGTCAATTTTGACAATTCCACTGATCTCTGAGCAATGTTCGATTGAGTCGCGAAGTCTCTCTTAAATATCATTTTACTAAAAAATTTTGGTTTTTACAAAGTTGATAATTTTGATTTTTTTCCATTCAAATTTTAGTTCTACGTAAGTTAACAAAAATCATTACATTTTGCAGAATTTGTTTGCACTTTGAACTGATGTGCAATTCAATTTTGATAAGATTTAGCATCAACAGAAAAAGACTAAGAAAATATGTGATTTTTTGACAAAATTTGTTTGTACTACTAAAACATGTTTTCTCACCGAGAAAAACTTTTTAGAGATTAAATGCTTAGATTTATAGGTAACTTTGCATGGAGAATCCGAAAATCGCATTTAAAACAAAATCTATTTTTTCGACCATGTTAGGTACTTTTTCGACGTGCTGAAGAAATGTCTCTTAACCGTAAATGATCATTTGCTATTTCTCTAATATAATTAAATCAAGATCTTGCTTTGCCCCATTTTAAAGAGCACACTTGGGTGCCTACGATAAATAATCAACAGATTCTTATTTGAGCTATCCGGATGAATGACTTGGATTTGTCAAAGGTTGCGTTCAATGTTTAGGATACCAATTTAATAATAAAAAAAATTCAAAAGTATCCACAATTCAGCAAAAGGGATTATTTGTGTATAGCGAAAAAAAAATGAGCATTGATATTCGTTTTGATGAGCAGCAAGAAAGAAATTTTAGTTAAGTGAAAGAGATTTTGTTATTGTCATCTAAAAAAATTCAAATATTAAAATATCGTTCAGTCAAAGAGTTTGGATAATTTTTGATTTTTAGTGTAATCACGAAAATAAAATTTTGTTCCGCTATATTATTAGTTTTCGGTTAGACAGTCTTCCATTTGTTTAATTGATTTTTCGGTTTTGTCAATAGCGACGATAGTATTGACTGAATATTTTTTTGATAATCGAGTGTACATTTATAATTTTCCAAAGCTAAATCGTATTTTACCATGAATTTCTTCATATAAGTTAGCAATTAAATAATAAATATGAGCTATGTAATTCTCCCATTTCAATTAATATTTTCCCTAGTGAATCCAGACTTGTTTCTTCACTAATTTTCTCTTGATAAAATGAAAATATTTCTTTCAGTTGATAATCATCATCGCTTAGCAATGAAACATTTATTATCCATATTTGACCAGTTTTATTGAATCTTATTTCGTTTATTTTGAACACAACGCCGAACATAATTAAAATTTCATTTTCATCCTTATAGTAACTTAAATGTTCTATACTAGCAAATGGTTTCGTTGTTAAACTTGTATCAAGTTCAATTTCAAATAGAACACTTTGTATTTGATCCGTAGTTTCAACTGATCGAGCGAAAGTTTTTGTTTTTCGACTATAACTGGTCGATAGTAAGCTATTCATCGAAAAATATTGTCCGATATTTGCTTCAATTAAACCGAGCTCATTCGATGTGATTGCCTGACCACGATTACTAGTAGTACGAATAATTCTTGTCTCTTACTTTGGGATAATTTTTAGCCCATTATTCATTTCTCAATTTATCACCGCAAAACACATAAGCACAACGTAGTTGTTGTAGCTCGTGTGTCCGAGGAACAATTTCACGTCCCATTGCACCAGAAACGATTAAAACAATTTTTTCATTTCTAACTTGTCGAACATATTGTTCATATTCGTCACCATCCTCAAATGCTCGTATCTGATTAATTATCTGACGTAAATCATTCAATGTTTCCAAATTATCTTGTGTAGAATAAATATTAGCATCTAACCATAGTAACTCATACGTTTCCAAATTGAATTTACTACCATTGTTGCCTTCAGTGATTATTTTACTAACTGCCACTGTTGTTGCTACGCTAATTTTATTTGCTTTAGATGGGTCTTCATCGGCAACCGTGGCTGCTATTTTTGCTACAACTGTCTTTTTGTCTGACATAGTTTAGATCGGTATAAGTCAATGATAAAACTATGAGTAGTGAAGTTCTACTATAAAAATAGGTGATGTAGATCCTAAGTAAACGAAAGCACAGAAATTTTTCTAGGAATTATCGTACCATGATCACAAAAGATTTACCAACTTTTTTCCTTTATTGGGTTTTGTCAGTATTTTTTGTCTCATATTCCAGAGTTTTCAGTTAGTGAACATTTCTCCTCTGATACTTGTTAAGAGCTAGCTATCACAACTGATTAATGTATGAAGGTTCCTAAAATTTGATATCATCGAACTGAAAAGTTCGTCGCATAGTTCTCGTTTTGTTTGCTTTGAACATATTCTGGTGCTCACTCTCGATATGAAAGTTCTGATTTCTGTGTATCGAAACTTTGAAAATTTCAACACAACGTCCACAAACGTATAGCGACAGACAGACTACGTTGACACAGACTGAGGGGAGGGTTACAATACAGAACTACAATGAGCAAGATAGAAAGTAACTCTAACATAGATTTGAAGTTTTAAACATAAACTTATTGCTATCTTATTGCTGACTTTCTCTGTTTGTTACTGTTTTTAATTTTAGAACATGTAAGAAATGAAAAGATTTATATTGCTCGTTGCTCAGAGAAAACATTGTTGATTTGAAACATTTGCCTTTATTGTATGTTTGATATGTTTCGAAATTAACTTTTAGAAGATTCTGGTGAAAATGGACCCGGTTAAAAATTGTAAACGTTGTAAACGGATTAAAGGTAAACAGTAATAAGCAGAGATAGTCAGCAATAAGATAGCGGTAAGTTTATGTTTAAAACTTATCATATTCGGAATCAGGATCAAAAGCTGAGTCGACGAATGTGTGTTTAGAAATTTTTACTTGATTTTCATTGTTAGTGAAAATCTCGATAACTTTTCAGTGTGAAAATTCGACAAAAACTAAAGCAGTCGGATAGGATGGAAATACACATTGGTCGACTCAGTCTTTGATCCTGATTCCGAATATGGTATTTGTATTGGATAAATCATCATCATACAGCAACCTAAGATAAAATTGGTTCAGGGCGAGGCACAATATTAACATTTTCCTTGGAATAAAATAGTTCTTTTCTGTTTTTTTCTTTCTATTTCGTTTGTTTTGTTCGACCTTCAAGACGGGCTTCCAGTCTTTAAGTGAATTTTCACTATGGTTTCTACAATACAGACAAATGTTTCAAATCAACAACGTTTTCTCTGAGCAACGAGCAATATAAATCGTTTCATTTCTTACATGTTCTAAAATTAAAAACAGTAACAAACAGAGAAAGTCAGCAATAAGATAGCAATAAGTTTATGTTTAAAACTTCAAATCTATGTTAGAGTTACTTTCTATCTTGCTCATTGTAGTTCTGTATTGTAACCCTCCCCTCAGTCTGTGTCAACGTAGTCTGTCTGTCGCTATACGTTTGTGGACGTTGTGTTGAAATTTTCAAAGTTTCGATACACAGAAATCAGAACTTTCATATGCAGCCGTTTAACCGATATACGACACACGTCTCAAGCATCGACTGAACGCGTTTATCTTATTTTGTCGTTTACACACGTTTGGACACCGTTTCAATCGATAAAAGGACCTGATGGGTCATAGTACCGCCAGTGTATTTCGGAAAAGACAAAAACTAGTCGTTCTGAAAGCATATGAGAAAGCAGCAGTTAGCTTATTAGTTAAAAGAACTGTTCGGATTTGCTCTGACTTTCATCTGTTAAATGAGGAATTTGGTTACGGAATATAAGAGTCACATTGATCAAACACGAGCATCACAGTAATGGCATAAGGGAAGCTATCAAAAATAAGTCTACGCGTAGATAATATAGAACAACATCATTCTCGTTCCTTGTTCTTTCGCTGGTTTTACTGAGTGAAACAAATCGGATACATTTCATGGCATCATCCGGAAATCGCCGTCGTCGTGGATTCGTACATGTTAAAGTATTAAAGTGTAAATGTGCACAAGTGAGGGTGAAGTAGCGAGGAGGAGGTTGGAGAACTTCTTTATCCATTTCACCCTCGCTTCTCCACCCTCACTCGCCGCGGATTCGTATATGTTAAAGTGTTAACACTTTAACACTGAATCCGCGACGATGGCGATTTTCCGATGCATTTCATGTACATGTACAGAGTAGAACAAATCTTCATTTTTTATTATCAGCTACACAATCTAACACAATTTAAAGCTGAACTGTATTCTTTCTGTTTATAGATATAAGTTATACATATATATATGTATTATATATCCGTTTTCAAATCAAATAATCTATTTTACCGCATTACGAAGATTTTTTCCTCTTCAACGAAACCAAAAAAATCGTATTCACAGTTCATCAAAATGCTTCCCTATGAAACGGTGGTCGAAACAAAAAATGAGTCGAAAATCGCTTTTTTAGAGTTTTGACTCTCAGCGGCCATGAGAAGTATTTGTTTGTCTTCAAAATGGATATTTATATCAATAGATCTACAAAGCACAATAAATTCAAGGCAAACAGCTCAAAACCCTTTCTAAGTACGGCCAAAAGACCGAATATGAAAAGTACCTTGCTAAAAAGTTTTTCTTAAATGTCTAGCATAGTGGCATAGTTAACACCAAAATTATTCGAAAAAAGTTTCGGATATGAAGACTCGATTTTCTAGAAATCAGTCTCGAAGAGCGTGTCAGCGCGTCTTACTATGATATTCAGAATCAGCATTATTGATCACCTATCATGACATGAATTTCACCGCAAAAGCGAAATATTACTCTAAAGCTTTAAAACTCTAATCAATAGCTCTGCCATCAAATCATCCTTATCTTGATCGAATCTACAATAATATGGGATTAGTATATGAAAATAAATTAGACTATGTAAGAGCCCTAGATTACTATCGACAGGTACTTGAGACATATAGTGCGCTTCCATCATCGCACCCTCGTGTCGTACACACGAAAGATAATATTAGACGTCTCGAAAATCATTAGAAAAGAGGTTATTGGCAATGCTTGGTAACAGTGAATTTGAATCCTAGTAACCATACTAAAAGTTCGATTTATGAGGCAAGGTTCTGAGCTTTGAAATCGCTTTTTCGATGAAATTCATGACATGATAGGTGATCAATAATGCTGATTCTGAATATCATAGTAAGACGCGCTGACACGCTCTTCGAGACTGATTTCTAGAAAATCGAGTCTTCATATCCGAAACTTTTTCGAATAATTTTGGTGTTAACTATGCCGCTATGCCAGACATTTAAAAAAAACTTTTTAGCAAGGTCATGTATGTACTTTTCATATTCGGTCTTTTGGTCGTACATAGAAGGGGTTTTGAGCTGTTTGCCTTGAATTTATTGTGCTTTGTAGATCTATTGAAATAAATATCCATTTTGAAAACAAACAAATACTTTTTTTAATCCAAACAATAACTAAAAATTACAAATGATGTGCATACCGAATGTTATAAAAAGTATTTAAGTACAGCTAATCATTAGTTAAAATGTTAAAGATTCGTCGACGCCATCTCGATTGAGAACAATCTGAAACTGTGCATTCTTGAAGGAGAACAATATTTTATAATCTATCTCAAAGGAGAACATATTCAACTGCTGCACTCTCGAATGAGAACAATTTATAAACTTATTCTTAAAGGAGAACATTTTCAAACAGTAAACCCTCGAAGGAGAACAAATAGCCACTGCAATAGATGCTAACGCGTAGTGATTTTGTTATTATAAAGAATATAAAAAAAAGACATATTCAAGCTACCGTATCCGAAACTTCGTTGTTTAAAAAACCATCTGACAAACTGTACAAGATTCTATAACATAGTTTTCTAGCAACATTAAAATACTCTTGAAAATCTATGCATCCACGCAAATATTGGTACTTAGCATGGATTAATAATGGATTCAAAATCAGTCATTATTGTAGCAGGCGATAACTGTATACCATAACTACCCCAGCAAAACTAAGTAAGCGAGAAAATCTAGTTGCAAAAATAGCTGCAGCGCCCACTTACAGCAGTAGATTAAATAAATTAAAAGGTACATTTATCTAGCTACATGCTGATTGAATTCGTGTACTAGCTGAAACGGCCGCTGCATTGGCCAATTAATGCCGCAATAAATTGTCCGATTAATCGATAGCTACTTGTTGTACCCAGTTGAAGCTAGATTCAATATAGCTGAAGCTATATCAAATTTGCTTGTATTTCACTGCATCTAGCTGAAGCTAGATAAGTGTACCTTTTAATCTAGATGCAGCGCCCGATTCATGATTTTTTTCGTGCTTGGGTAGACTCATAATGTTGAAAATTCGTTAACATTGAAAAATAGTTTTTCTTTTCTTTATTTTTCAATGTTGCAAAAAATCCTGGTTTTGTAGAAATAGAACCATAACCGTGAATTATGCATGCTTGCTCGAATTGCTTCGGAGCTGTCCGAAATGTTCCATCTGCTTCCCAATGTCGGCTACAATAAAAAAAAACGCGTAACAAGTAGAAAGTTATGTATTAGTTAGCTATAGAATCCACCAGCCTTATGGACAATCGAAAAGACCTTCGTGAGAACAAAAACCAAGCATTCTTGAACCAATATCAACATCGAATGCACGAAAGCGTTGATCATCAAGTGTTTTCTGAAGATTATCAGGAATCATAAAATCTTCTTTAGTGGGTCGGTATGTCCGTAACTGTCTCCAGCACCCTCGATAGAGACTTCACCGAACTGATTCATATTCTAGAACTAATGCACAATCTGCTGTACTTTTTTGTCGTTTGACCTACAAGAAAATATTATAGTTCGAATTCTCTATAATCTTTTGAGCTCGCGACTCACCATCTCATGAATGGCACCTTCGTACTAATGTGGTATTGGTGAAATATCATCTCCAACTTTTCGCTATAAATCCCGTAATAGTGGATGCTCAACCTTGACTTCTTCATGTGCATGGTTTCCACGTTGCACTAAAACTGCTAACGTCGTTTGGTTGACTACTATT